AATAAGGCGGATTATGTCCGTTGTTGCCAAACACGAGCACATAATATTATTATTGAGACAGGGCCGTACTCAAACTTCTAAAGGGCTATAACTTTGTTACTTTAATTTTACCAGAAAAATGTTAAAGGAAAAAACATTTCTTTTGATCAGATCTACTCACTGTTAAAATAAATGACTCAACTCCAGTGTCATGCCGTTGAGGCAACAAACACCGCTACTACAAGTCAATGACAGCTAGTTCACACGTAGTTTCTCGTACTGAGCAGCAAAACTATATAAGTGCTTGTCAACTGAGAATAAAGAATGCAGCATAAGCAACTTTTAAAAAAAGGTTAAAGATGACCTTAAAGCAACCGGATGGGTAGAGTTTAACTTTACGCATCTTTACAGGTAATTGACTAAACTATCTCTGTCAAGCTTTTTTTTTATTGGTGATCAGTGTTGTGAACTATGCCATCTTAAATTCAGGTGCCTTTTTTCTTTATGGAGTACAGCTCAGATGTGTCTATGTCTATAGGTTGGTTTTAAAAACAGCGTAAGCTAACACTTTGCCTTTAAGTCACTTTTTTTTCTTGCTATTAAGTCTATTATTTTGTTATGTTATATAGTTATTATTATTATTATTACTATTATAATTACAATTATATGTTACTTTAATTTTTAGGCAAGCTCTATATGCTTCATCGAAACTCCTACCGAATCATTTCCTTTCTGTTACCGAATATTAACGAACAGATTAAAAACCCCGCAATAAGAATGAAATTTCGTCGGCGGAATATTATATTCGCTTATAGCCTCGGGTTACACTGCTATAGGCGTTTTTAGCAGATATTGACAGCCCTAACGCAGGAAACTGAAATGTGAATACATGAAAAAGTTTCCAAGTCCATAATGGTTTTTAATCAACAGGGTCAGCAATGAACATAAAACTAATAAAAAAGCTGGAACTTCCTGGGCACGTTTTGCGTTAAATCGGGTAAACCATCAGCGCGCAGGTTGCACCATGTCGGAGGTGAAACATTCCAACTTTGCCACGTTCGCATAATGCATTTATACATAGGCGCCACTTAGGGAATCCCCACGAGGAAAGATAAGATTGGAAACAGGTATTGTTTTTCTTACAAAAGGTGCAACAGAAGATTGTTCCATTGATATTGTAGTATGGTAAGATCATACTGTATAATATATTGTTATTAAAAACTTGGGCATTGCAAGTAATATATACATTTTTGGGGGAGATGAAATTGTCTCAAGAACAGATATTTTGCTAATTAGAATAGCACTTTTTAACGAAAAATCCAAGTTGCCGTAACTATCCGGTCGACATTATTATAAACGGTTTCGCCTGGTAAACTGTCAATCTTGCACAAAAAGTGGCGTAAAGTAGGTTGACTCTACACTTTCCACTCCACGCCGTCATCAGTTGAGTTCATAAAGGATTATGTTCAGCACAAGTTGCTATGCTTTCGTTGCGTGTTTAAGTTAAATTCTCTAAGAAAAAAAGTTAGCTACGAAGATGTATTATAGAGGATCAAGTCCGTCAAACAGATCCGTACAATTAGTCCCTAACATGCTTTTCCTGCTCTACCAGTAGTACCGTCTATCTGGCAACGTCGCGTCGCCTCTCCCGAATATCTGAAGGCATGGATGGGTCGCAGGAGGCAGAGTGCCAGTAATCTAGGACATAACACCGGCACGCTGTTCGCGGGCCTTAACCAGCAGTGACAGGGACGCTCACCGGCAACATTTTTCCATCGTTGTTTTAAGGGAAAGGTCTATGATTTGTGAAATATGTCTGGAATTATCGGGGCTGGAAGTGTATTAACATCTCTCGTCCCACTCCTCAATTTTTCACCCCAAAAAAAAAATCCAAAATGATCACAGTTCTCCGAATCGTCAACAAACGAAGTTTGGGTGATTTTTATTTTCTCTGAGCAGTACTGTCCAAATTAAAGGCGGTCCAAAGATTAGCGAAAGGTAGAGACAGATTCACCGAACGAAATGAGCGAAACAGTTTTTTGTGATGTACATGTCATATAACACCCAAAAAACATAATATCTCATTTTCGAAATGTTTTGCGACTAAAAGGTGCTAGTACCATTTTTGTACAGAATTCAATTCTTCTTCATTGTGATTCTATACAATTTTCAACAGTTTACGAGATATTGAACGTCAAAAGCTACACTTCCACCTTTAACGGCCAATGACTAGTAACCCGAAATGATAGAGACTCTATATTACTTATTACAGAAAATCAAATTTGCTACAAAAAAGTCCTCCACCCCTCGTAAATAAGAATCATGTCAACAAGTTCAGCATTTTCGTAAACATGTGCCATTTATTATTTCGTTTGAACCACGCAACAAACACCACTATTCACTCACGCGTTACCGACTGACACATTAACTGAATACAACTGAATAAAATTGTAGTAAAAACATCGCGATAAGCGTTTCAAATTCTTTCGCTTTTTTGTTTCCGATGCGATGAACCGATAAGGCGGATTATATCCGTTGTTGCCAAACACGAGCACATAATATTATTATTGAGACAGGGCGGTACTCAAACTTCTAAAGGGCTATAACTTTGTTACTTTAATTTTACCAGAAAAATGTTAAAGGAAAGAACATTTCTTTTGATCAAATCTACTCACTGTTAAAATAAATGACTCAACTCCAGTGGCATGCCGTTGAGGCAACAAACACCGCTACTACAAGTCAACCAAAATATGTGTGTAAAAATAAAAAAAAATTAAAAAAAAAATTACCTTGTTTTATAAAGTATCCTCCCGACAAGTATTTCAGTGCGAACCTGTATTTGATCGTGAGGTCTTGGAGCACCGGCATGCCGTCCCCTGTGAGGTCTTAAGTCACCTGATTCACGAGCCCGTTGTACTACATTAACAAAGGCACGAGGGGTTGGTTGCACTCGATTGGGAAACCGATCCGCATAATTCCGTGATGCCGCGGCAGCATTTTGTAAAGACTCCCCCCCCCTCGTAAATAAGAATCATGTCAACAAGTTCAGCATTTTCGTAAACATGTGCCATTTATTATTTCGTTTGAGCCACGCAACAAACACGGCTATTCACTCACGCGTTACCGACTGACACATTGACTGAATACAACTGAATAAAATTGTAGTAAAAACATCGTGATAAGCGTTTCAAATTCTTTCGCTTTTTTGTTTCCGATGCGATGAACCGATAAGGCGGATTATATCCGTTGTTGCCAAATACGAGCACATAATATTATTATGGAGACAGGGCGGTACTCATACTTCTAAAGGGCTATAACTTTGTTGCTTTCATTTTTCCAGAAAAATGTTAAAGGAAAAAAACATTTCTTTTGATCAGATCTACTCACTGTTAAAATAAATGACTCAACTTCGAAGTCACCCTGTATATGGAAGTGGTGACTTGAATTATATGATAATGACATAACAAATCGTAGTAGTATTACATTTTCCATACTTTCGCGTGGCATTAAATTCACTATAAGATGATATTTTAACATATGGACAGCGTATGAAATATTCGGAGCAGACAGCGTGGAAGTTTTGATACGAAATTTAACTTTCCTTATAGTTCTAAAACCATTAGACTGTCAAAAAAAACACGAAAGATGTTTATTGTAACAAATTTGTTCTCTATAACATTGAGTTACTAGCTTAGCTGTTGCAAGCAAAAATGTAATTTTTTCTTGTAACTTCGACGTTCAGTATCTCGTAAACTGTTGACGGTACCGTAAAATTATATGAAACCAAAAAGATGGAAAATCTGATTCTGTATAACAAGAAAAGCAGATCTCGCATTTCCAGAATACTCCTTGTAGTTAATTATAATTATAATTATAATTCAGCGATAGTTTTGCTGTTTCAGTATATTTAAAATCGTTGTTATTTATTACGCTCCAAGTGAGTTAAATCAGATTTTTTTAAATACACTTCTTTTCACCTTCTGTATAATCTGTAAAAGTGGAGAATGCAGAGCTTACGCGTGGACTTGTATAAAATTTCATGTAGACAATGTAGACAATAACATACTTAGGTAGGGTTAATTTTACTCGTAAAGGTTAAAGTGTAAGGGATATATAGATCGACCAATTAGTTTTGATTCTTCTATTGAATTTTTCTTTTTCCCCACAATATAGGGTTCGGTATAAACGTAGCGATGTGAAGAGGATAAAGTCATGAACGGCTAATCTTTAGAATTCTCCTATCTGCTATTCTCAACATGGTCTACTCTTTATAAAAATGGTATTGTCTACACGTTAACAATTAGTCTAATCATATTACCAATTTTTGTGGGAATAAAAAAACAATTATCTTTCGGAATGGCTTGTGATTCGTGTCGGCAAGGTGTATTTTGCTCAATAAACTAGTAGTGATGGCTGGAGGACAGGTGTTTTGGGATAAGCAATTAGAAATTCTCAAAAACTACTCGACCAATCGACTCTAATTTTGTTGTGTAGGAAGCCTTCGGATTTGAAGAATTTCAAGCAGCTACGTGAAATTATCGTCGCATTAGCAGGTGCCAAAGCCTGCATTTTGCCTTGGTAACTTTTTTACTATTAGTGGGATCTTTTCACGTGTGGTCTCATAAATACCTAAACATCTTATTTAAAGGGTTTTCTCGTTCCTACCAGCACTTTCGATTGAATCCCAAAAAACACGTTGTCTCATTCTTTGTTGTGGAAAATTGGTGTAACCGTTTTATGCATCCAAGTTTCAAATACCCCCTTGAACAAGTTGCATCAATAAAACCAGACTTTACAATTATTTCGGGACATTTGCTAATATGATTAGACTAAATGGTGAATTTTACATGACGTACACAATGCGCCTATGACATGTTAGACCGTGTAGAATCTATAAGCTACGCCGTATCTACTAACAGCTCTAATGATATAGATTCCCACTCATCTGAATTAGCTCGGAGTTGCGCCTATGTATAACCCCTAATGCTCCCATATATTTTACATGATCTAATATTCCACAGCCGATGTAACTACCTCACCCCCCACTACGTGCAAAGAATTGACGTGTTATTTCGGAGCAACATGCATCGAAAGGAGTGGCCTGGCTGTCTGCGAATGCCATACCAAATGTACTGAAGACAATGAGCCTCAAGTATGTCATTAGAATATGTAATTTACCCTTTGCGTGAGCCGCATGTCCTTTAAATACAACACTAGAATGTAATATAGCTTAACTCGTCAAAGAGAATGCTCGGTTTGTATTGCTATGTTCTGTTTAATGTACAGCTCAGGAGTTTTAGTTGAAACAGACGTTCTAACCCGCAATCTACGTCACCTCAAAAACTTTTTAGTCGAAGACAGACATTTGCACGGCAGGGAGCAGGAAAGAAATGCACATTTACAGTGTTTGTCGCTTGGGAATTCGAAACGACGAGTACGAAACTGCTTTCAATAGATACTGTATACCCTAGTTCAAGGAATAAATCTTAATTTACGATATTTTACAGGATCACAAATGTCGGCCTCAGATTTTGGGCTAATAAGCTTGATGAGAAACTTTTTTCTCTCAGAATCATAGGACAAAGCAGCATCTTCAATTTCACAATTTTTTTCAATCGATTTAGTATCTGCATCCACCATTTTTCACAAATGACTGCAATAGATTTTACGCTAATTCCCTTCATCCCGGAAATTATAAGAAAATCATGGCGATAGTGGAAAATAAGCATAACGCATTTTGTTCAGTTTTATCGGTTTGACCAATAGGTTTAAGCCATCCAATCGTTCCATCCTGGCACATTTATGAAAAATGGTGAATGTGCGTACTGCTAAAGCCGTATACACATTTTGCCCAATAAATCTAGTATGTGCATTCACCATTTTTCACAAACGTTGGTCACAGATTTTGCGTTAAGAAGTTTCAGCCCGGCAGTGTGAAGAAATTCCTACAACACATTTATTTTAATCGTGTCTAGTATTCGAGGTAACATACTGCATAAACAATCCGGATATTCAGTGACCCTGCATAAACTAAAACTCCTGATCTATGCAGACTGCCCCGTTTAGGTTTAAACCGCGTGCAGACCGTTGGCTTATGTTGGCTCGCGCCGTTAGAATACCTCCAAATCTGTAACCACATGCGCCTTGGCTTGCGTTGGAATCTCGGTCTGTACGCGGCTTTATAATCGTTCCATCCTGGCACGTTTATGAAAAATGGTGAATGTGCGTACTGCTAAAGCCGCGTACACCTTTTGCCCAATAAATCTAGTATGTGCATTCACCATTTTTCACAAATGACTGCAATAGATTTTACGCTAATTCCCTTCATCCCGGAAATTATAAGAAAGTCCTTCAAAATACGGATTTCAATTTTTTTCCGCCAAAATCATAGGGGAAAGTGGAAAATAAGAATAACGCATTTTGTTCAGTTTTATCGGTTTGACCAATAGGTTTAAGCCATCCAATCGTTCCATCCTGGCACATTTATGAAAAATGGTGAATGTGCGTACTGCTAAAGCCGCGTACACCTTTTGCCCAATAAATCTAGTATGTGCATTCGCCATTTTTCACAAACGTTGGTCACAAATTTTGCGTTAACAAGTTTCAGCCCGGCAGTGTGAAGAAATTCCTTCAAAACATTTATTTTATTCGTGTCTAGTATTCGAGGTAAGATACTGCATAAAGAATCCGGATATTCAGTGACCCTGCATAAACTAAAACTCCTGATCTATGCGGACTGCCCCGTTTTTAGATGCGAGCCTTCACAAACCACTATTGGTATTTTTTCTGGATTCTCCCGTTCGGCGGTGATTAGGGTTGTACTTCAAAGGGCTGTTGTTGCCCAAAAAAAACACAATTCACTGTGGTAGATAGAAGCTCCACATAATAGACCACAGAAGAAGAGCTATTCGCCAGTAATGATCAATGTGGGCAAACCTCAAATTGGCACACTGAAAAATATATTTCAAGAACGATTCTCATGATGCATGCAAAAAACGAGAGCAGTTCAGTATATTTTTATTATTTATAGATGATTCCACATGCACAGAAGTGGGTACAGTCAAAATATGTTTTGAGAGTGTCCATTTCATTGATAAAATAGCCTCTATGGGCAATATTAGGCAAGAAAACAGTTTAGTTTTTCAATCGGTATGTAATGGTAGAGGAAAGTCTCCCAAACCGGACCCCACCTCTGTCTTAAACAGGGTAGCCGATATGTAACTTACACTTACAGCACTATTTCGGTAAATAACTCATAACTTTTTTGTGCTACCCTGTATACAACAACTGACCAAAACATTTGTCTTTCTCGTATGTCCACAATTAAAAAGGCTTGCTTGTTAGAATTGTCTAAAGCTAACAGTTTCCGAGATATTTGTTTTTTAAAGTTGCAATGCTTTATTTGATGATGAAACATTTTTATAACATAATAATCAAGTTGCTTTGGATAATATCTGAGTAGCGTTGCTATGCAACTTGATTATTATGTTATAAAAATGTTTACGTTTATGTAATATGTAAATTTCACTTTTCTGAATCTTTGACAGGTTGTCTGTGGTAGTGATGGTCAAACATACAAGTCGCCTTGTGACTTGAAACAGCTGGCTTGCCGACTTCAAAAAGATATCGTCGTACAAGCGTTTGGGGCATGCAAAGGTAAGTAAATATAATCTAATCGACTTACGTAGCCAAGTTTTGTTATATGAAAAAAAAATAAATATCAACTATACCCCATTCGTAGTCCATTTACACCCAGACAAAATACAACATGCCCAAAAGCGAGATTGTACAGGTCCGTATTTGCCTCAATGGTCTTGGAATAATCCAACTATGGTTATTTTTATAGAAGGACAATTCTTTATTCGCTGGAAGTATTTGAAAAAAATTGTGAATTATACACGGAAAAAATACTAGATTTTAGCTTTCGGTTTTTCCCTTTACTATTTATACTCAATTACTATCAGGTTACCAAATAAGTTCGTGCGGTTGCTGTATATCGCACATTGCCATGGATGTTGTTGATCGATATCGATTGTTTGAGCGATGAACCGCGCTCAGGGAGACCAAAAATCATTAACAACGATGATCTTCGACATGTTGTGGACGCAAATTCCAGGACAACACGCCAGAAACTTGCAAAAATATTCAGAGTGAGTCCTGAAACTATTCGTTTGCATCTTCATCAGCTAGGAAAGATGTGGAAGTTAAGCAAATGGGTCCCACATGAAATGATAACAAATTAAGTCGTCTTACCATTTGTTCAGCAAACGCTAATGAACCATTTCTAATCGGTTATTAACCTGCGACGAATTCTAAGCGTTCGTATATATATATATATATATATATATATATCTTTGATCAATCGGAAGAAAGTGATATTCTTGCAGGATAACGCCAAGCCTCATACCCTCTCTTGACAACAAATCCAGGGAGTTCTACAATACCGGCATACAAAAATTGGTTCCACGTTGGCAAAATGTCATTGAATGTGATGGTGATTACTTATTGTTTCTCAATAAAAATTTATATTTTTCTATTAAAAACCGCACGAACTTATTTGGTTACCTGATATTTTTGCGGAAATGAGCCACTGTGATGGAGGGTAAACGAATACACTACTATACTAAACTGTTTAAACCAAACTCTCTTCCAGACGATATGTTTTCAAGCACCGATTGGCCCATCCGGCGCTACACGCCGCTGCAATTCACTCAGCCGGACGAATCCAACTCTCCGCTGTCCAAGTCGACACGGCACCTGCTCGTGCCGGAACCCGATCCCCGGTACTACTACGAGCGCAGCGGCAACAGCGCACGCCCTTTGGCGCCTGTTTCCATTCCGGATCAGAAGTCCGGGGAGGTGGGCATCTCCGGTGGGCCGCCGCCAAAGGAGGATGCCGGATTCGAGGCGCTCCCGCCTGGAGCTAATATCGCTTACCACACACGCGGTGAGACTGACATTCTGTTTGCTAAGTAGCTTTGTTAGGGGCAGGCTGTTTGCCGCGAATGGTGTGATCAAGTCCTTTATGTTGCTGCAACGTCGCATAACACAGAATATGAATGAAGGCACGGCGTCAAGTAGATTGACTCTCTACACTTTCCACGGCTTCTAGTACAATTTTCTATATGAGCCATTTTTCAAGTAAGCATCGCTTTGTAATGGAGTAAGTATGTAAATCGAATCACAAACTAATATATTTGGATTCCAAAGTCAAAGAACGCTGCCGCCTAGCCGTTAAACCACTTAGCAACGTTTTCATGAACATTTCATCGTTTTCCAAGTACTTTCCACTAAGAAATTCTTTCAGTTTTGGAAAAAGATGAAAGCCTGATGGCGCTAAGTCAGAGCTGTTATGATCCAGTAATTCCCAACAAAACTGCGTCTATGTCCTTGCCGCAACGTGAGGCCGAGCGTTGTCGTGAAGAAACCTTTTTTGCGTTTAAAAACCGAACTACTGATCGCACTTCACAATTTGCGGATTTTCTGATTGACAGGTTGACAAACAAAGCAGTTAAACCACACGACCAATACCGACAGAGACGTGAAACGTATAGACTGATGTCTTCAAAATGTTGCCCCATCTCCCACCATCAAATTGACCATTATTCTTCCATCACTTCACTAGCTCAACTCTCAACTCTCAAGCTAACGCTATATAGTTCGTTAATTGACCCTGTACAATTTCAAATTTAAATTCACGCCACAACTTTTCCTGTGAATATTCCGGGCGAAACTTTTTGCATATAATTAAAAATGACATTGAAAGGGTCAGCGCATTGGCGTTTGAAAGCGTGAAGTAAATGCTCCATATAGAGGGCTTAATGTGTTCCTGAAATCCATTTTTCATGTTAGGAGTGCGTCACGCGTTCGAACAGGAAATTGCATTTTAGAAATTGCAGTGTATAAATGAATTAAATGAAATTAGAGGCATTACGACAACCACGGGGCCGTCGCGTCGGCCACGTGCCGGGCCCTTTTGTACTTACTATATTTCCAGCTCCTTAACATTCTGGAGATCCGAAATATTGGACCTCAGTATGGTCTGTCGTAGTATCCCAGAGATTGGATTTCCATGTGTGCGAGAAAGAGAGAGAGAGAGAGAGAGAGAGAGAGATAGAGACAGTGTGCCATATAAGCCTCGTTACCACGTTGCCTGGCAACGACACTGGGGGATGAGTGACAACGTGGTGAGGGCGCTTATACGAGGTCTGTATGTTAAGTGATGAGACAGATTTTTTTTTATTTTTATTCAAATATAACTGCAAGTTTTTATTGTCACCCTCAAAATGACAGTCACACAGCGCTGGAGACGGTGCTTCCATTCCTCAAAACTCCGACACTGGAATAACCTCCAGCTGGTTGGTGACAGTCGTTTGAATGTTTTCAACTGTCCCAAAATGAGTTCCCCGATCATTCTGATTGTCTAGCTTTTGCGTTTATAAGAAATATTTGAAAGTACAAACAATTCTCAATGGCCACTTTATAACCTCCATTTCTTGACAGATAAGATAAATGATGTCCATTGTTGCCAAGTTGTACCTTTTTTGGGAGAAATACGTAATAAAAAATGAGGTTATTCGCAAAATAGAAGTCTTAATTTATTGTAAATGGCTTGTCTTATAAGAAGCTATCCCTATATTTACTGAAAACTAGATTAAATTTTGAACAGTATGTGTACGGGTGCTTTTTTAAGAGGTATATATATATATATATATATATATATATATGGCTTCAATTCTTGCACCAGCTGTATCTTATAAGGTTTTACACCCAAATCCTGTCGCAAAATTTTCCACGTAGTGGAGTAACAGAGGCCCAATTGCTGCGAACGGCGGCGAATCGACATTTCACGGTCATCACTAACACTGGCGAATACAGCCGCAATATTTTCTTCAGTCCTCACTCTAGGTCTGCGCGTTGGTGGTTTAATGTCCAATAATGTAAACTGGGTTCGAAATTTAGTCACAAGCTTCCGGATAGCTCCCTCAGTAGGCCGACCAAATTGCCCATAAATTGGAATCAGTGCTCGATGCACTCTCTTAACCGAGCATGAATTTTTATAGTAAAATTCAATCATTTGCAAGCGTTGTTCGTTCGTGGTTAAATTATAGACCAAACTGAACAAGTTTGACAATGACACAAGACACGATTCACGCGTCATCTGTCAAAAACAGTGTCGCCAAAAAGATACTAGCAAAAAAATCACCCATTATAAAAGTAAGAATTTGACAAACCAAATTAAGGTCTATACACGATTTGGCAACATCGCAACTAGATGGGGAGAGTATGATAGTGATGGTGATGTAGTGATGAGAATATTTATCTGAAATAAAAGAAATGACTACTTAATGAACTATTTTCATCATTAAGATAATGCAAAATTGCATTATTGCGTAGTAGTAATTTAGTAGTGTATGTAATATTGATATAATTTTAAGCAATCTTTTGTGTAAACAAAAAAAGAAACAGCTTATAAAGCAGTATTCTATACCACAGTATTACCACCCAAAATGCAACAAGTGCTATAAAACAGCAAGCAGAGGGTCCTTAAAAAAAAGATATATTCTAATCTCTACAGATAACCCAATAACTCGGGCGAGTTCCAACTTGTACTGAATTTAAAGACCTCGTATGAACTCGCGCACTCGTTCGAATACGCTTCTCTCTCTCTCTCATACACATGAAAATCTAAAAGGGAAAACTAGTTTGGCCAGCACTGTAGGTTACCTTACATTGTCTCTGTCTCACTTAATTGTGCAGCAGTGACATAAAGGATTTTGACATACACCTCCAACCCTCCCAAGCATTATAAGTTATTCACTCGTTGTCTTTGTGGTTGGTTCATAACATGGCAAATACATTAGAAGAAAACATTTTTTGCAATGAAAAACATGCCTGTTTTTGACAATCTGCATAGAAAATAATTAGCTCATTTGGTTCGCCAGATATGGACTAGCCCTTACGCAGCATTGCTATTTTTTACCCCCTGTATAATAGTCAATCAAAAGAAATATTTTTGAAAGCCTCAACCGTTTTTGAGGAAGCATTTATTGATCGATTATGATACAAATTCTGATATACTGATTCCACCGTTTCAAATATAGTAATTTTGATCGCAGGTTCGTAATCAGTGACTAGATAAACAAACACCTCACACCACTTTATCAAACGATAGAGTTTTGGGGATTGTGGCTGAAGTGTAAATCGATATGAGTAGTATTGGAACAAACCTATTTTTTTGAAAAAATATTCATTCTGTTAAAATCAAACAAGAATACATTATTTTACATAAAGGATAAAGCTTTCCAGAAATCTTACTTTTGAATTTTTTTTACACACGTTGTGAAAAAATTGGATATTATTGCACTGAGGCCGGTGCAGCCACATAGTCTACGAAATAAATACGAATTCAATCACTCACCAGCTTTCCTCCCCCCGGCAAATCGCAACTGAAAAGAAAATGTTATGTATTCCAAAAAAATTTACAAAATCGGAGTAAGTAACATACGCCACTGTACTGATACATGCTTGTGCGGATTTCAAGATAGAGTACCTTGACATGTTCTATGATCTACAAAGATTATTTATTTATTTATCGCTAATCGCTATCCAACTTAATACGTTTACATGTATAGTGTTTTCTTCTAATGTACAATATCAATAACACATGCTTTATTAACGTCGCATGTCCCTTTTTTCAACAGCCTGTCTGGAGGAGTATTCTTAATACTTTTCCTGTGGCCATTTCATGGTGTGAGAAAAACAGTATTATCAGTTTCTTTTTTGTTAAAAAATGCATTTTTATGCATTTTTTTTCAATGGTAACAAATAATAGTACAGCTCAAAAATTGCAATTTCAATTTGTGGAAGAATCGAGCGGGTGATTACTTTTTACTTATCACTTTCTCTATCCAAAAAATCTTTGCTTTTCTTGAAAACTCTTTTTGCTGCAAAACGAGGCTTCAAAAAAATCGAGGATTTATCGAAAAGAAAAAGTGATAAGAATAAGAATCATCACCACCTCAATACTATTATAAAGGTGGAATTTTAACTGACAATTTAAGAGCTACACTAATATTTGTTAGCAAAATGCACAAAAATGCATTTTTTGACAGAAAAATCTGGACAATGTTTTTCAGTCACCTCTAGGGTTTAGAATACTGCTCCGAACAAGCGGTTGAAAAAAAAGGACATGCGACTTTAAACATCGCTTCTGCTCTCTTCTTTATCTTCAGGTTCCGTCAGTATGTGAAAGAAAGTTTCAGCATTCTCATAGATCACCCGATGATTCGGATCTACATTCAACACAAACTAATAGTTAAGCCTAGATACCCTGTAATGATACGCATTACACATAGTTCCTGCGTTGCATTTTGTAACTATTACATGTATGAGTAATAAAGCTATCTCGACGAGTTGTTTTACTTATTTTACGAATGACAGAACTGGGCACGCTCAATGGATAAATTCAGTTTTCATAAAAATATATTTTTAACGGAAACGCCGTTATAGCTAATGTATAACTATGCCGACTGAACTTTTATTCCATCTTAATTCCGCGCCATGGCTGTTTCAACTGTGTCTACCTCGGCATTTATCTGATCTTCAATCGATGGTTACCAGATACACACTCCGCGTTTTTCCGATCGAAATCGATCTTCAAGGAAGCCGTCTAGATGGCAGTAGATTTATCTCCAGGCGTGTCGAATGTTTGCGACTGTGTTGCGAACGCTCCAAAACGCGACCACGGTGCGTACACGGTCGCGTTATTCTGGTTGCCTAACCGTCGTCACTGCAAGGGCGTCCCATAGCCACTTAAGGTCCCAGTTACGACGCCGTTACAGTATGTTACCTTTGTGACAATCTTGGAATAGTGAAAATTAATGTATGGATTCAGATTGTACTTCCAAAATGGTTTACATACTATCCGATAGTTGACTCAAACTGGATCTGTTCCAAATAAAAAATGTGATCGGAGAGTTTAATACTCTATTACGCAAAACTGTTGCATATTTTATAGTGCGATCTAGAGCAAGGTTTCTTAAAAAGCCCCAGTGATAAAAATTACAAATGAGTTTTCTTTAATTGATAGAAAACTATTCCGAAACGCGTATAAAGAATTCTCGATTTTGCATTTTTACATATGGACTGAAAAAGTCTTGATACTAATGTCCATATAACGCGCTCAGCTTTTGCAGTTATTCTCGCCAAAAATGCACGTCAAAAGAACCAGCAAAGTAACACCTCAAGGCAGATATAATAAAAGTTTGTAATTGTTTCAAGGTTTTCCTTGTCAAGAATCACGATCTTAGAAACTCTGGAAAATGGGACCTGCGGGTCTTCAAGTTTTAATAATTCAGCAACCATTCGATTAATTTTTGAAAGAATTAAAAGTAATTTTTCCCCTTTGTATCGTTACATCTCGATTAGACTGTTACTTGGAGGGCAAACTTTGCTTGTAATATAAAGTGCAATGGGTAATTTTCTAAGCATGCTACTTTCCAAGTTATAGAGAAGACGGGAGACTGGTAAGGTTGTCGTGATGTGCATGTCACATAACATCTTTTTCTTCTATATACACCGAAGCAGCCCGCCTAAATACCGGAACACCGCGGCTGCTAAAAGTTGCTTAAAGACCCCCAAGCAGTGATAACCTCCAGACTTGGCGCTCTGAATTCCTGCATGTAGAGTGCTGTCATCGGCAAAGATGTTGATCGGGTCGACTGTACAGAAAAGTTCGTTCAAATCTAATAGAAACAATGAAAGAACTAAGACCGATCCCTGGGGAATACCCACCCGCATTTACATTGTGGGCTGAAGAGGGGAACCCGTCAATTGCGGTCAGAGAGGAAGTCAGCCGCACCTCTGCAAAGTTCATCTGGGAGGCCGTAGGATGGAAGTTTGCTTAAGATGGCAGCATACCACGACAGATCGAAAGATGTGCCGGAAACCATACTGCCTATCGCTAATCAAGCCGCGATGTCAAGATACTCCAGAAGATACTACAATAAACATCTCAAAACTTCCTCGTTAACTGATATGCGAAGTATAAGAAAGTAACACGTACTATTTTATTCTTACCTTTTCCATCTTTTGAGGTAAGTAGTAGTAGCATATTTCTTTGTCATATTCATCATTGGAACTAAAATACTTTGCTGGGCCGAATAAAAAATTGTGTTTCAAGCATGGCAATTTTCGATTAATACAACTTCAAACTATTTAGGACATAAGAGACAAAATAAACCTAGAGCTTCTTCCGATTGTTCCAGAGAAGTGAACATTACAGAAAATCGGGTGATAAAACTTGAGAATTTTACGGTTCACAATCGCCGTCTGCTCGAGTACTGGATGATTGCCTATAGTTTTTTTGAGCCCTATCAGAAGCATAGTGGATAAAGGAACCTGTTCGATTATCATGTACTTTCTTAAGGGTGTGCTCATTATACGAGGGTTGATACCATCTAATAAAGCTGTTATTATTTTTCTACGTAACCCCTTCTAATGATGACACGTCTTCATCGGTGTTCCAACATTCTAGTAGCCTCCAGGTAAAAAAACGCATACATATTACAAGGAGCGGATTTCACATATTTTTTCGAGTCACCCTGTACATTTGATAGAATTGCAATGATGGTGAACCGGCTAGTAAAGCTGTTTTTATTTTTCTACGTTACCCCTTCTAATGATGACACGTCTTCATCGGTGTTCCAACATTCTCGTAGCCTCCAGGTAAAAAAAGGCATAGATATTGCGAGAAGCGGGTTTCAGCTATTTTTTCGAGTTACCCTGTACATTTGGTAGAATTGCAATGATGGTGAACCGGCTAGTAAAGCTGTTTTTATTTTTCTACGTTATCCCTTCCAATGATGATACTCCTTCGTCGGTGTTCCAACATTCCAATAGCCTCCAGGTAAAAAAACGCATAGATATTGCGAGGTGCGGATTTCAGCTATTTATACGAGTCATCCTGTACATTTGATAGAATTGCAATGTTGGTAAACCGGCTAGTAAAGCTGTTTTTATTTTTCCACGCAACCCCTTCTAATGATGACATTTTTCCAATCGTGTTCCAACATTCCAATAGCCTCCAGGTAAAAAACGCATAGATATTGCGAGGAGCGGATTTCATCCATTTTTTCGAGTCGCCCTGTAAATTTGATGGAATTGCAATGATGGTGACCCGGCTAGTAAAGCCGTTTTTATTTTTATACGTTATCTCTTCTAATGATGACACTTCTTCATCGGTGTTCCAACATTCCAATAGCCTTCAGGTAAAAGACGCAAAGATATTGCGAGGAGCGGATTTCAGCTATTTTTTCGAGTCGCCCTGTAAATTTGATATAATCGCAATGTTGGTGAACCAGCTAGTAAAGCTGTTTTTATTTTTCTACGTTATTCCTTCCACTGATGACACTTCTTCGTCGGTGTTCCAACATTCCAATAACCTCCAGGTAAAAAACGCATAGATATTGCGAGGAGCGGATTTCAGCCATTTTTTCGAGTCACCCTGTAAATTTGATAGAATCGCAATGTTGGTGAACCGGCTAGTAAAGCTGTTTTTATTTTTCTACGTTATCCCTTCCAATGATGTCACTTCTTCGTCGGTGTTCCAACATTCCAATAGCCTCCAGGTAAAAAAACGCATAGATATTGCGAGGAGCGGGTTTCAGCTATTTTTTTGAGTCACTCTGTACATTTGATAGAATCGCAATGTTGGTGAACCGGTTAGTAAAGCTGTTTTTATTTTTCTACGTTATCCCTTCCAATGATGATACTTCTTCGTCGGTGTTCCAACATTCCAATAGCCTCCAGGTAAAAAAAGGCATAGATATTGCGAGGAGTGGATTTCAGCCATTTTTTCGAGTCACCCTGTACATTTGGTAGAATTGCAATGATGGTGAACCGGCTAGTAAAGCTGTTTTTATTTTTCTACGTTACCCCTTCCAATGATGACACTTCTTCGTCGGTGTTCCAACATTCCAATAGCCTCAAGGTAAAAAAAGGCATAGATATTGCGAGAAGCGGGTTTCAGCTATTTTTTCGAGTCACTCTGTACATTTGATAGAATTGCAATGATGGTGATCCGGCTAGTAAAGCTGTTTTTACTTTTCTACGTTACCCCTTCCAATGATGACACTTCTTCGTCAGTGTTCCAACATTCCAATAGCCTCCAGGTAAAAAAACGCATAGATACTGCGAGGAGCCGATTTCAGCCATTTTTTCGAGTCACCCTGTACATTTCGTAGAATTGCAATGATGGTGAACCGGCTAGTAAAGCTGTTTTTATTTTTCTACGTTACCTCTTCCAATGATGACACTTCTTCGTCGGTGTTCCAACATTCCAATAGCCTCCAGGTAAAAAACGCATAGATATTGCGAGGAGCGGATTTCAGCTATTTATACGAGTCATCCTGTACATTTGATAGAATTGCAATGTTGGTAAACCGGCTAGTAAAGCTGTTTTTATTTTTCCACGCAACCCCTTCTAATGATGACATTTTTCCAATCGTGTTCCAACATTCCAATAGCCTCCAGGTAAAAAACGCATAGATATTGCGAGGAGCGGATTTCAGCTATTTATACGAGTCATCCTGTACATTTGATAGAATTGCAATGTTGGTAAACCGGCTAGTAAAGCTGTTTTTATTTTTCCACGCAACCCCTTCTAATGATGACATTTTTCCAATCGTGTTCCAACATTCCAATAGCCTCCAGGTAAAAAACGCATGGATATTGCGAGGAGCGGATTTCAGCTATTTTTTCGAGTCACTCTGTACATTTGATTGAATCGCAATGTTGGTGAACCGGCTAGTAAAGCTGTTTTTATTTTTCTACGTTACTCCTTCTAATGATGACACTCCTTCGTCGGTGTTCCAACATTCCAATAGCCTCCAGGTGAAAAAACGCATAGATATTGCGAGGAGCGGATTTCAGCCATTTTTTCGAGTCACCCTGTACATTTGATAGAATTGCAATGATGGTGAACCGGCTAGTAAAGCTGTTTTTATTTTTCTACGTTACCCCTTCCAATGATGACACTTCTTCGTCGGTGTTTCAACATTCCAATAGCCTCCAAGTAAAAAAACGCATAGATATTGCGAGGTGCGGATTTCAGCTATTTATACGAGTCATCCTGTACATTTGATAGAATTGCAATGTTGGTAAACCGGCTAGTAGAGCTGTTTTTATTTTTCCACGCAACCCCTTCTAATGATGACATTTTTCCAATCGCGTTCTAACATTCCAATAGCCTCCGGGTAAAAAACGCATAGATATTGCGAGGAGCGGATTTCATCCATTTTTTCGAGTCGCCCTGTAAATTTGATGGAATTGCAATGATGGTGAACCGGCTAGTAAAGCCGTTTTTATTTTTATACGTTATCCCTTCTAATGATGACACTTCTTCATCGGTGTT